TCGCTACCTCTATTCATGCACACTGGCGAGCTTTACGGTGAGTATACAATATTGTATTAAGTAGACCTTATACTATACATTTAAAGTAAAAAGACAGGAAATTATACCGAATTAAGTACCACAAAATTTGTTTCGGACAGATTCGCGGAGATTCTTGAAGACATCTTTTGCACTGCTTTTGCAGTACAAATGTTGATAGTTGTTGTAACATTGAGCATTACTCTGCTACAAGTACGTGTCTATTTGTTGCTGCTATTCAACTTGGTATCTGCATATTTCGTACGATGTTATTTGTCGGTCGTGTTGCATTACTTGCGGTTATATGATTAACAGCATTGTGTAACATCTTTAAACTTTTTAAATGTTTCTTGATTTGTAATTCTTATAGGTTTTTCTGGTAGATTATGATTAAATTGTATTTAAAAATACTTTAACATATCACAAGCTTTCGAGCAAAACAGGGTGAAAAATGAAAAAAATTGTTTATTTGTTTTAAAAATTTTAATTATGCGACTATTTTAATTGTGCGATATAATCAATCCTTCCATCGAAATCGAATATGAACTACAGATAATTTTGATTAAAATGACTTTATAAACGCGCTATATTTAAATAATTGACTATTATGTAACCGATATTGCGATTTTTTTATATTTACTTTTATTTTGAATTGTTTGAGTTTTATGTTTTACACTGAGGATGACCTGATGAAGGTCGAAACGTTTGTATATTAAATGTTTATGTTGATTGAATATTAAAGATTGATTAATCGATAGCAATTAACAACTAGCGTTGACTCGTAGCCTTCCTCCTTTGACAATTTTATCTTTTAGAAAAAATTTTTCTTTAGTCAATTTTGAAGTTGTTTAAAAAAAACCGAAATGTCATAGAAATTCGTTATTATCGAAAATTACCTGCTACTTACTACAAAATAAAATTGTTGTTATACAGTGTGTATACTAAATCAAGAGATTAAAATATCGTAATTGTCGTGTTTAAGGTTGCGTTATTGTATGGCGAAATTCACGAAGTGTTGAAGTATTTGGCGTATATCTTTGCTCAGGTGTTACACACGTTCTGCTTCAGTCTACAAGGACAGAGATTGATTGACCACAGCTTGCAATTAAGCGATAAAATGTAAGACTTTAATCACTTAAAATTGATGAAATCGGAAATTTGTTGATGACTGAGATTCAAAGTTGCTGTAGATACAAATCCTCCTGGTATGAAATACCTGTGGAATCACAAAGGCTGCTTTTGTTCGCGATGCGAAGGAGCATGCAACCATGTTTTTTAAGCGCCGGCAAGATTTATATCTTCTCTTTGAAGAGCTTCTCCACGGTAAATATTATTTACGAAATTTATGTTACTACATGTTCCTTTGAAGTCTCTTATGAATACCGATTCTTATTTTAAAGGTTATGCAGTCTTCGGTGTCGTATTTTACCGTACTCGCATCCTTCCAATGATCAATACTCAATATGTAATTTGGATAGCATTTGTACAATCACAATTATATTATAGTAATAGAGATCGTGCAGTGGAAATAATATTTACATTATACTTATTAATTATGAAAGAATTACGTACACTGTTAAAATACCATCGTTAAATATATTTTTTAATCTCATTTTTTTACGGAAGTTACAAATTATAAGAAGATATAGTCAAATTATAAGAAGACATAATCAAAAATGAAAATAGAGAAATGGATAAGAGATGGTATTTATTTTAAGTGTTGAAACATGTTCATTTTTCGATTTTAAAAGAAAAATGTGATGTAGGAAGATATTGGGCAGGTAACAGATTCTTAGTTATGGACTGCATTATATTTGCATCTAAAGTATATAATACATAATAATGTTGTTAGTGTGAGCTGCAAAAACAAGTGGATTCAAATCCTTAACTGATGAAATTCGATTTAATGTTAAGCCAAAGTGCATTATCGGCGAGCACGTCATACGAGATCACAGAAGCTAATCGTGATGGTGACGATGAAAAGTGTATAATCGAGTTTTTTAAACACCTGCGATATCTATATTTATATACTGCCTGGAAAACTTTACCACGTTACTACGCGCAGAATTATTGTGTGCTTGTCATAGTATTTCTTTTACGAAACATAATGCTCTTATTTTGAAGATTTTGCAAACTTCGATGTCATACTTTACGTTGCTCTTATTAGTTTAGTAGCCCTTTGTTTGTGCATCTGAAAATATTACCCGGTGGCACTCATCAAGAAAAAACAATGCCATATGTCTTCAATTCTCTAAAATATTAAATAATATCTATTATAATATAATTATAATATAAATTCTTCAATAATTAAACACTTCTAATTCATTAATTAATAATTCATTAATTATCATTAATTCTTTATCAAAATTATACATAAATTGACTGTTATGTGTATCTTGAACATTTCATATTTCGCATAAACAACCTTGGCCAAAAAATTAAAAAAATTTAGAACCTCCGTATCACCGATCCTCGTAGCGATACTGAACGTAGAATAACATTATAGTATAAGCAACTACATATGACAGAAATAAAATTTATATCTGGCAACTAAGTACACGTAAGCACATCTTGTCAGAGGAATTCTTATTTCCTTGAATATTTCGATTAATATGTTCAGTACGAAAGAACGTTCCGTCCGTTGATAAGTTTCCTTTCACGTTCACATTTTATTAGGCATGACACGCAAAATTGCTATCAAAAGTTTCTATCGTACGTAGTATTTTGCTATGTTACACCTGCTAAAATATTAATTCGTTTCTCATAACGAAGACAAGATGAGAAGTTTAATCGATTGCATGTTGCCAAAGATAAAACATTGAAAATTATGGCATTCGTGTAGAAAGATTACTACAGTATTACGAAAAAGGTATTGTTATTCTGAGCTTCACGGTAAAGATTGTTTTTTACGAACTTTACGTTGTTAAACTTAAGAGAAGGAACTTCCTTTGAAGTCTTTCTCTTAAGAATACTGCTCCTTATTTTAAAGATTATGCAGTCTTCGGTATCATATTTTATCGTATTTGCGTCCTTATAATGATCAATATATAAATTTTGGATATTATCTGTGCAACCATAATTATATTTATAGTAATAGAAATTGTGCAGTGAAAAAATAGTACTTACATTAACTTATTAATTAGAAACGAATTACCAACGCTATTAAAATATTGCTGTTAAATATATTTTTAAACCTCATTGTTTCACAGAAGTCACAAGTTATAAGAAGAAATAAGCAGGAATATTAAGTGTCGAGATGTGTTCATTTTTTTTGTTCGGTTTTAAAGGGAAGTTATTACGCGAGATAACAGGTTTTTAGTAATGGACTAGGTTTTATTTGCATCTAATATAGTACATAGTAACGTCGTTAGCGCAAGTTGCGAAAACAAGTGAATTCATAATCGTTAACTGATGAAATTTGATTTAACGTCAAGCAAAAATCACGCGTTATCGGTACTGGCGAGCATGTCATCTCGTCCGAAACGGTCATACTACGCTTGTCAGTGATTTCTCGATATTATCATTACAAAAATCAAAATCGTGAAAGTTAAACTCGAATAAAAAGAAATAAGTTTTAAATATCTTAACATTGATAACTTACTTACCTATATTAATAAAATCTTTTTCGTGTAAGGCGAAAGTTGTAACGCGAAAATATTATCAACTCTCTCCAAACATTTTATAGCAATTAAAACGAATGTCACATTGCAGCGTCAACGAGTATCATTCAGTATATCGTTTGAATATTCCGTAGGAGTTTTGGGATCGAAAATATTATCAACTCTTTCTTCATAAATAAAAAAATGTAACAAGAAAAAATGCCGAGAGACAAAATCGACGATAATTATTTCTTTTATTTCGATGACTCGTAATGTTAAACTTGAGACCGTAAGTTTTACGATCTAACGGGATATGTACGTGGATATATGCGTATATGTTGCACGCAAGACGAAATGTCTCTGTCGCATTTTCATCGCACATCGAGCGGCATATTTAACTATTTTTAGATGTTGGAGAGTATATCATGTCTCTTGGATTGAAAGGAAATTTGATCTTGCCATTCGATATAGCAAAATAGATAAAATCTTTCAAAACCACTGTGCTTTTGAATGAGAAAATGCTTTTGCACCAAGCTTCCACCGCTCAATTGTACGCTGAAGACACGAGGCAATGAAAAGAGAGACGGCTTTTTTCTTAGCTTCTTTCGAAGATAAAAACGGCACCTATCACTTTCGAATCTACCGGATACACTTCGGCGTCTGTATAATGCCCTTGTCACATGATCTCTCTTTCGTTCCTCTATAATTATTATAATAATAGTATTGTCTGTTTCCCGACTACGTTCGTCTCTGTTCCTTTAACACTTAAGCGATCGTACGATCGTGATAAAGTGACGTTAGAAAAGATCGTGACGACCTGGCTTGGCTATTTTCAAGTTGCGATTGTATGAATGTATATAACTGTCAATAGTATGTATATACACATTTTTCCGTGTACGTCCGACACTAATTATTCGTAGTGTACGTGTATGTTATTTTTATATATTATATATTATCGCGTGGTATACAGTATAACGATATTTGTATATATGTATGTATATATATATGTGTGTATATATAGATATATCTCTACTCTATATATATATATGTATATGTTGTATATTTATATATAACTCTGGGTACAAATAATGCTTACAAAAATATTAATTTGGGAAGGCAAACTTTCAATTATAAGTCCGTTAGTCTCGAAATACTCACGAATGCAACAATAACAGTGGCCGATTTTATCTACAATATCGAAATCATAGGGAAACCTCCGTCCGCGTCTCGCTAACTCAACACAAGTCTCCGCGTGCTAATTATTAGCCTCCCATCTCGGAGTACGGCCCTAAAATCTCAAACTAATCGTTATTTCTTCAATATCTCGAAACCCCCTCCCTTTCGATGTTGTATTCTTTCCACGCCTCATTTTTTGCTTCTTTTTTCATTCTTCCTGAATCAAGTTAACAGCTGCCAAGAACAGCAGTAACAATAAGTTACTAATTGTTATCGTACACTACTTACAAACTTTACTTACAAACTCACGTATCCTAGCGTACTATTTTGCTAAATCTTTTGGTAAATTCGACGCCAAAAAAGGACTCTGATATGATCAGCGGTTATCTGTGATATTTTTGAATATCGTTAATATACGTTTGACTGTGTAGATATCATATCGTAAACAAAGAATGACTTTAAAACAAAAGTATATACCGAAGAAATATATATACTAATGAAATATCAATATCTTAGTTGATAATCTACTAATATACCGACAGTAACTCTGATCACACGAGAGCCCCATTACGCCACGCCGCAAACACTGACAGTTCTAACATTTATCCTAACCGCATTATCAATTAACATCGTCGTTAGACCCAAAAAGGAAGACTCTTGTGACGTTTTTCACTTCCTGCTATGGAACGCTTAACCCTCTCGCCTCTCGAATTATTCATTGCTCGGAACGATAAAAATCGTTAGACGTTGCACGAAACCATTTAATCACATTCGCCGAACTCGGCGAAAGTACTTCCATGCGATGCAATCGCGTGGATTTAATTAGAAGTCTCATTCGTTGTATCAGTAACATTTCGCGAGTTACGTGTGTTATGTGAAATTACATAAAATGCATAATTTCGAGTAAAATCAGTAAATACACTACCGAAAATTAAACGAAGAAATTAGTTAGCTAGTATCTTTGAAGTTATAAATTTCCGTGTCAGTAAAATAATTAAAATTTAATTACTAATCATTAAAAAATCGATCGCTAAAATTTCTTAAAATTTTTATACATTGCGATAAATAAAACTGCAAATGTGCGCTTGCACAATGAAGAAATAAATAATTGTAAAATAAATTGTACTCATAATTACCTGTAAATAATCGCGCGTCGTAAAAGATGCAGGAGTTGCAATCCTGAGTGTTATGTACATATGTTCGTTCTTCACTTTTACAATAAAAAAAATATTAGGATTCCCTTCAATAAAAGTCTCTTTTGACTGTAACTTGCGGAAATCTTCGTAATGTCAGAAACGATTGGGTTAAACGTTGAGAAATTTGGTGCTTATTCTAACGCTTAGTGCTTTGGTGAAAGCTATCCTGGGCCCTGATGCGCCGCGTGGCGTCCTGGACCGTCGGCCTTCCTCACAATCTCTCCACGTAGTTGCCCGGGAAGGTGCCGAAGTAGCCGGTTCTCTGACTGGAACCAACATACCATCCATCGTCGCACTTCTCCATCACGTACACTGTGTCGCCCTCCTTCAACTCCAGCTCGTCGTCGTTCTGCGGTTTGTAGTTGTATAACGCCCGGTACCTGTTGAAATGTAAGTACTTATGAGTTCGATTTGCTTCCTGCCACGATAGAATGATCCACGTACGAATGAGAAGATAACTGTTCAGATTTATTAAGACAAAAAAATCGTTAATGTATTCTGTGCCGCATGAATTACTGATGATCGACTGAACTTTCAATTCAGACTATTTAATATATTTTAGCTACATTTTAAAAAATATCAGTATGGATTTCAAACCTCTGGTGATAATATCAACACCATCATGATGTGGATTTAAAACCCATGGTATTAAATCTACATCATATCGATGTTAATATTAACACCAACATTGAAAATTATATAGACACCATTATTTTTTAGAATGTATAAAAAGAAACGCGATCATAAAATATTTTCTGAAATAATAAATTGCTACATAATTATTGTATACAATGCAATTTTAATCACCGGTGACAGCTAGTGACCGGTTTTTGTACTGCTATAAGTATTGAGAGACACATGTTATTTAACAAATATGTATAATAAATACAACAACGTGGGTTATCTGTGATAACCACACGTGAATCACATAAAATTAATGTAATGTAATAAGTTTTCATTCAAACGTAAAAAGTTGCAAAACTCACGGGATCGGTTCTGAATGTGTGTCGATATGCAGGGTTTCGCTGAGTTGTGACACATGCAATTTGCTTCCTCCCATACGTGGCTGAAAAATACGAGAAGAAAGGATTGTTAAGCGTGTATTTTTTAAAACGCTTTCGCTTTATTAGAACTGTCTCTTTCAATGAAAATAGCGTCTCTCGGCCGTTATCCGATGGTATAATGAAATGTTACGGGAAGGATTCAATCACGCCGCGGAGTAATTATGCCATGACACAAGATCGCGCGATAGTTACCAGTGAATTATAATGGGGCTGGGTTGTGTTGATATTGACCGGGATGGACGGCACGTAATGATGGGGTCCCATACTCATTTTCCCTCCGGACGAACCGTTTGCTAAGAGACTGTGCGCCGCCGGAGAAGCGACCGGTTTATTCTGAATCGGTGTCTCTAAAATAAAAGAAGGTAAATTTCGTACAAATTTCGTCGATTCGACGAGAAGCTTGATTCAAAATGTTTTTATTAACACTTTATTAGGTTTCTTTGCTGCTTTTTAACTCTTATAGGAAAAGCCACTATAGAGTGGCCTTGAAACAATGTCATATTTTGAGACAAGGAATATAATGACATAATGAATTATTTTATTAACATCATTTTGTCAAGTTTCTCTACTGCTTTCTTTTAATTTTTACAGGACGAGAAAACCACTATAATGGTGCTAAAACAATGTCATATTGTGAGACAAGGAATATAATAAAATAATGAATTATAACAAGAAAGAAAAGTTGTAAAATTTAAAAAATAGACCCCAGTCATAGAGATTAATCCGACTTCCTTGATTTAAATTACCTGATCGATGTCCGGGTTCGGTGATAACTTCAACGTAGGAAATCGGGAAGATCCCTTTTCTGTTTCCTATACGTCCTTCGTACCAATTTTCGTCGACCCTCCTTGTTAAGACCACTAATTCGCCTATAGACAAATATCAGTAAGTATGCCGAAAAGTAATTTGCGTTTCTTTCGTTACTTCGAATCAAGTTTAGAGAAATTCTCCTCGCAACAGTATAGTCTCACCTTTCACCAAGGATAACTCGAGATTGGTCTGAGCGATAAAGTTAAACTTGGCCCGCGCCTGTCCCTCGTGAGCCTTTTTTGGTGTCGTTCGCATCGTACCGTCGTACGGTAGGATCTGTGTAGAATAAAGTAATAACTTGTTAGTAAAGGTATACTTTGTTGCCAGGTATCTAACTTTCACTTCTCGCATATACGCCTTATAAAATCTAGATTCAACTAGCGATTACCTCGACATAATTGGAAGGGAACAGTCCGATCATCGCGTTGTATTCTCCCTCGTACCAATTCTTGTCCACCTGTCGTCGAACGAATATGAGGTCGCCGCGCCGGAAAGTCAATTCCCGGGACGACTGGCCGACAAAATTGTAGAGCGCTCTTGCCACCAGACGTGGCTCCGGTGTTTGATCTTGGGATCGACTTCGCTGGCTCAAATCGTCCACGAAATCGTCGTAGCGATTCAGGGGTATAGGCGACTTCTGCGATGGTCTGGAAATTGTTGAAGTGTTGTCGAGAAGATGGAATGGTTTCTCTCAGCCTCGACGAACCAGGATTGTCTTTGCTCTGAGTAAATGCTAATTCTCCTCGGCATTGTGATGATTATCGAGTGCTTGCGGTCGAAATGCGCCTCGGAGGAATGTAAATCTATTCTTTCGACATCCTCTATAGTTTTTTTCAGGATTCATGTAAATCCAGCCAATACGTTTTAGAGTCGACGATGTTAATTAACCCTACATTACTCGCGTGATTTTTTTCTAACATAATTGCTTGCGTATTTCTAACACCTTCGCACTATAATATCTCAATTTTTATTATTCTCTTTGATGATTTGACAATTAAATAAAGATTTATAATTATTTGTAGATATTAAAAAAAAATTTACTAAATCTTATATATATATAATATTTCTTTGAATATTACTAAAAATATAATAAATAAACATTTACTTACAAAAATATTGTTTACAAAATAAAAATAATAGTTGAATCAAATTAATGGTTCTTGTATGAAATAAATGTATGTTCCACTTATAGCAAATATTTACTTAAAACTATTCAAACAAATATTATATTTTTTCGGTGTATCTTTTAAATAAAGACAAATGCGAAAAATTTTTTTAAATTATAAAACAATTTGTGCTAAATATAATAATGTATATATATAACATTCACTTAGCAAATTTATAAAATCGGGATATTTTGTACACTTCGAGTAATGAATCGGGTAAAGATTAAGGCAGAATTTTTTGAAATATTTTCTTTTCAGTAAACTCGAAACTTTCTATAATTTCTCTATCTAGGGCTACTTGAGCATCAATGAAACCTCTCTCGACTTTTCTACCTGTATGCGTTCGCCTACACTTTCATTGTGACGCCCGCGTAAAACAGCTCACGATGCACGATGCGTTACGCAACGGCGTTGAATAGCAGGAAATGTTTACGAACCGACGACCGAGTATGACAAGCTGAAGATGTGCATGCCTTTCTCCATACCATTATTAACGTCATCTTCGAAAATATTCTCGCGTTTGGCGGAAGGAACGGAGAAGCGCAGTAAAATACGCGAGAAGGATACGCGAGTCTTCCAATTAGTACGACGTCGTTAGAGCGAGGATTTTTGTTTCTTCATCGAAGAAAGTAATTCGAGTCTTACGCTCGAGAAGATGAGGTGATTAAGGCTACGATTCGATCCGACGTCATCCTTCGTCCGAGATCTCTCGAATTAAAAGGGACAAAAAGAAAGAGGAAGAGACCCTTTGTACTTACATAAAATTATCCGTGTGTCTGCGGGAGTCGATGTCGTGCAACTCCTGGAGATACTTGCGACGGCGCTCCTCCTGGTAGACGCGCCGCATGTTCTCCGCGCTACGACGTGCGAGCTCCTCCTCGCTCAGCGGCTCCTTCGCCTCTGTACGCACCGGCGAGCGATAGTGAATCGTCACTTCACCCTCCACATAACGCCTCGGCGATTCTGCATCAAGCGAGACGCGTTTATCGTCACCGATCGACCTGATCCGCAAACGGAACGAGAGTCGCGTTTCGACCGTTAGAATTTTTTTGTATCTCACACAGAACGTTCTAATGTAGGTACATACGACGTTCTCTACTCCGTTCTATATGTACATTTTGTGCAATTTAATTTCGATTCAATTAAACCCCGATCTGTGGCACGCACGACGAGAGCGACGCGAGAGAGTGTGGTTAATTTCGGTTTAAATTATTCGATTGACGGAAGCGTTTTATTGGTGCGCGGTTTAAATTCGCGTGCCATTTCATCGAGTTAATCGTTGTCGTCAACCGCTCCAATGAACACTGTCGTTATTAAAAATGATGGCGAACGTTCGATCTCAGATTCATAATTCGCGACTAAAGTATGAAGTATGATCCTTACATCATGATTTTTTGTTTTCAATCGAGGACGTTATTTTAATTCGAATTAATAATAAAGAGCATTTTTTAATAACACAGTAATACGATAAATCATTTCATCCTTTTTTAATATTGGCAAACACCCAAAGATGTGATAATTCACTATGTTACACTATGTCTTTGCTGGAAAACGTCCAATATCATGGTAAATTCGATCACCCTACATTAAATTAGTCTACATTAAAGGCTGCTTTATATGAAATATCTGCAGTGGCATAATATAATTAACTTTGACAATGAAATAATACCTGTATATTCTGTTAAATAGCGTGACAATATCATAATTGAGTAATTTAATCGTTAAAACATTTACGTGCTTTTACCGCAGTGGATGGAACACATTAATGCGAAAAGTACTATACGATTTGTATGCTTTGTCTTGCCGATGACGACTATAAAGTTTAGCAAAAATATTTTTCTGTGTCATGTTATGTCTTCTTTGAGCCATTAAAAACATTTTCATAAACACTGAATTCTATTGGATCGATACAAAAATTTTAGCTCGATTTATCATTCAAAATTCAAGCAACTGCAACTTCGTTAAAAATAAACAAAATTTAAATCTAAAAAAGGGTTTTAAAGCTTAAAATCTATACTTTCGAAGAGTCACTATGTTTTTTGAATTTCTGTGAGTTTGATAATTTTCACATATAGAAAACTATACGAGCCGGACAAAATGGGAAATTTTCTTGTCATTTTGTAAATCTCTAACGTGCCCAAAAAAATTTGCAAATATTTTCGACTTTCTAACGTGAAAATTTTTCCTACAAAATCGTTCTTTCAAAATGTTCCTGAGATTTTTTATTACTGAGTTATCGCAGATTAAATAAAAAAAAAAAAACACTTTGATTTTGGTTCATAACTTCGTAAAAAATCATTGTATCGTAAAAAAAAAATAAATTCATAAAGCTGAAGCTCTATTAAATACTATAATTGCCAATTTGAGTAAAATATTACGTTCTGAATTTACATAAAAACTTTTTTGAAATCGGGCCAAAACTTTTGCACCTAATATTACTTGTATATTTTTAATTACCGGGAATTACCGTTAACTTTGCTTTTATATTTAACTTTGCTAATTTCATGTGTAACAGCTTTTAGCTTTTAGTATGCGCTAACGTGATATAATGCAAGTGACCGAATTCGCTATCTAGATCACATTCGAAAGAGACGGGATTTTGTCTCGGCGTCTTTAACGTTTGATGATGTTCAAGTCTCGACAGTTATTAGAGCATGCGACAATCATATCAAGCCAGATCATATCACGAGGAAGAATTAAATCACATAAAAGAAGATGGTTTAACCCACATCGAGACCACCGCTTGTTTATCTCATTCTGCTACAACATATGGCTTCTTCGCGGAGAGAAACGATACTTAAGACGCGGTCGTCGACCGACACGAGGCAAAAATCTAGATACGGTGTCTGAACATGAGTTCATGTAATGCTCGATTACATTTGATTACGCGCACGTGATACAACATAACTAAATATAAAACATAGTGCAGTGAATCTATTACACCGATATTTGCAATTATGACGACAGTTATAACGACCTGTAACATGTAGAAGTTTCCGTTAAATATCCCTGTCAGTTGCTTTTATTTAACGCATTTATGCAGGCGATTATTATTTATTTATGCAAAAGCTCGTAGCAACTAACGACCACGTATCGATTCGCGTGACGCGTTTTCTTTATTTCCCTTTCTTTTTTCTCCTCTTTTATCTCTCAAGAGCATTTAAAAACTAGGAAGCTCCGTATTTCATATGCGAGCAAAAGCGTTTTGCACGCACCTGTTTTCGTGCACGCGCTGCGCGAGATAATGACGACAGTTTATCGCGATGCAACAGCACGCGCGTGCATACCTGCAGGCACGATGCGTACTCGCGTGCGTCGGGCTGTAACCAGACCGTGCGACTGATAAAGTGGAATACAGCTTGCAACTGATCAATTCTTAATAAAGCGCAGCCGCGATGACACAGGCCGATGTAAGCATCGCGAAAGTGCGAATCAGCAACAAAGTCTTTTGGGACACGTATTATGTATGAACCATTCGAAATGGATTCCGGTAGAAATTATTTTGTTTTTCCTGCACTCTAGGAAAAAAATTTAGTGCCTTCAGCAAAACTTTAGTTGAGGAATTTTTTAACAGCAATCAAATATTTTGTTTAAGTAACAAAAAATTTAATTATTTTTGCAAAATAATTTCTATAACAAAAATATTTATTTATATCAACTAAATAATTCAGTTTGCATAAAATTACAGTTTTGTTCGGTACGTTTTAATCAAAACAATTTCGTTCGATAAATATATTTCAACCAAATTTTGTCACATTGTGGTTCATAGAACATTTTTCCTAGTGTAGGTTCTAGAAAACATAATATGCTGAAAAAAGAGCGTGATAATAGCCATCAAATGTTGAGTGAAATAATTCAATCAAAAATAATTTTACATTTTATTTTTTATTAGACATTTCATTAACGTCTTATTATCAATATTCTTATAAAGAGATATTTATTAGCATAAGAAAAATATTAAGTTGTTTGTCAATTTAATAAATAATATTATTACTCTGATTTTACTCATAAATGCGTTTCGAGACCGAAAAAGATTTCGGCGTGCAGTTTACAGAATCAGATATGTATATAAATTCACACAGAAATATTTATGCATTAAATCCGCTTTAACCGAATATAGGAATTCTCATATTTAATTAGAATGATTTTACTTTTCTAAATATTTAATAATTATTAGCAAACGGTTGGTTATAATTATTATGTTCGATAATACTTGGTAATTAAATATTTAGAAAAGTAAAATTATCTATGGTTAAATTAATCGAACATTTGATTGAAATTATTTCACTCAATATTTGGCTATTATCAGACTCTTTTCAGTGTAGAACTCTAGGGAATAATTAAATAATTTCGAGCGGAATCCATTCCAAACAGTTCCATGATACGAACTCAGGTTCCAATCGCAAGGAATTTATTTTTCATTTCGAATAGCCGAAAGTGGGAATTATCGCGATGTACGGTAACAGAAAAATGTTATTATGAAGTAAAAAGATAAAACGGAATAAAACATAGAATAAAAATAATTTTAAAAAATCTCTTTCTCGGATCAAATTTCAAATCACAAACTTTTGTCCTTCTTCAGTGAAATCTCGCTGGATTCTCCCGCGATTCTGCAGAACCACTATGTTTCGTGCCATCATTACTCGTGTAACCTGATTTGTTAGCGTGTAACACTAACTCATCACAAATGCCGAAACGAGAAACTGAATTTCAGTCTCTCTCTCAGAACGCCGCAACACCTTTCACCGCTTTCATTGAACGAAATTCTCACGCGATCGATTCTTTCTCTACCTCTCTGTTTCTCGCGTTTATCCTGTGCCAAGACTATTTTGTTACGGTACCTTATTATTCTTTTTATCTGATCCTCTCCTCAAATAATTTAATTTCGATTTACCGTTCTATTCTCGACACGTTTCTAGAATCTTTTGTGGATTATGAGAAGTAAATTTTTCGCATTATGACTTGATATTTATGTCGTGTCAATTATCTTTAATCGCTGACAACATGAAATTTTAATCCTTTCGTCAACAATATTCGAGAAATAGAGTAAATTTTTTACTCAAATAAAAGAAGTGCCAATTATGATCAAAGTCAGATATTGAAATAATAAATCTATATGTATTTTTAAATAAATTTATCTCACAATCAGATATACGTGCCGATTATTTTCGGACTTACGGTACAATACAATCTAATTGAAACAATATTTAAAAAATTTTTTATTGTTTCGGACTATATAAAAATCTAAAAGAATTTTAGTATGCTTGTCAAAGCTTCAACGAGTTTTACCATCACAGAAATTGAATATATTGTATTGTATTTATTTTTTATAGATTAAATTAAATTTACCTACTAAAATTCACAAACAAAATATCGAATATATAAAATTGCTTTTAAAGATTCCAGTTACTGACGAAGGTATTTCAAACTTTTTTTATTCTATTACGATATTTTATACAACACAAATTACTTTAATATATCGACGTTAATTTAATATACGTTTTTTAATATATTTGACATACAGAATACAATATGTTTCATAATATTTCTATCGACCTGATTCTGAACACGTAATCTGAGCTTATTAAGTTTCCTAAGTTAATAACAACGTTCCGGAAAGGATATGCTGCTCTACCTAATTGGTACCTTGATTCTACTTATTTCTCTACTTTTTCTCTCGTCTCAATCATCGCGCCAACGACACCAGCAACAGCTAAGTATGCCGAGGCGATTCTAACGGGGCGCGCGGCTATTTACGCGCGGCAGGAAGAGCATTATTTCAGGAAAATTATGCGCATGTTTACTGACTGTACGGAATCGGTCCGTAGACCGTAGACGGAAGCGCGCTTCCGGCGGCGTGAAGTCCGCCAATCGGACTCGTCTGATCGAACAAAGGGCTGTTGGTGATTCGGTCACGGCGGCAGGCATCAGGGTCAATCGGAAGTATCTTGATCGAGGCGGGA